GTTTGGTCAATACGCATCTGCTGGAAACTCAATGGGGACCACTGGTATGAAATGGAGTAATCTAGATGACTCTCTTAATGGAATGCGTGGTGTCTTGATTATTATTGTTGTGGAGTGGGCAATACTTCTCCCCTTGGCATTCTATGTGGATCAAGTCTCGTCGCTGGGTGGTGGATTCAGGAAAAATCCCTTTTTCTTCTTGAGCTGCTTTAAGAAGCGTGCTCTTTCATTGCCGAGATATAGCTTTGGGAGACAAGGATCTAAAGTAGTCGTTGAAATGGACAATCCTGATGCTGTTCAAGAAGTAAGTTACTCTCTTACATTATCTCTCAATGATACTTTCTGTATTTCTTATTTTCTAAATTATGTTCAGAGAGAGGTGGTTGAGCAACTTCTGCTGGAACCCATTGCAAACCAAGCGATCCTCTCTGATAACCTCAAAAAGGTTTACCATGGAAAAGATGGAAACCCTGACAAACTTGCTGTCCGAGGGTTGTCTCTTGCCATACCAAAAGGCCAGTGTTTTGGAATGCTTGGCCCGAATGGAGCTGGGAAAACATCCTTCATCAGTATGGTACATCAACATAGCCTATTACTTTGATTTTTTTGACAAACTTTCGGTGATATTATGCACTCCTCAGCGATATATTTTCCCTGCAGATGATTGGGCTTATTCCACCAACATCTGGCACTGCCTATGTACATGGACTGGATATAAAGACTGACATGGATGCAATCTATTCTAACATGGGTGTATGCCCACAGCATGAGTATGGCCTTGCTCTAAAATTTATATGTTCTATCTTAAACCCATTTCTGCCGATTACCGTTGCATTCTAGTGCCATCAGATCTCATTCCCTTTCACTTTGATGCAGCTTACTTTGGGAAACATTAACAGGAAGAGAGCATCTATTGTTTTATGGGAGACTGAAGAATCTTAAAGGCACTGAATTATTGAAGGTATAGTTCTGTAATTGGCATGTTTTAATATTAGTTCCTATTTACCTTCACTGAGAAATAGTCTGAGGTGACTTATGCTATGTTTGTTGATTCTATGTTGCAGCAGAAATCCACATGTCAATAAGACATGTATACATCTATACTGAGATTACAATATTCTGTACTGCAGGCTGTTGATGACTCTCTGAAGAGTGTTAATCTGTTTCATGGTGGCGTTGGTGAAAAGCAAGTGGGAAAGTACAGTGGGGGCATGAAACGAAGGCTTAGTGTTGCGATTTCATTAATTGGGGATCCCAAAGTACCCCTCACTTTTGTCTATGTGTTTTAGTGCAGAATACACATTGGCGTGTGCATCTCATAATTTGATACCTTTAGGTGGTTTTCATGGATGAGCCAAGCTCCGGACTAGATCCAGCATCAAGAAACAATCTGTGGAGTGTTGTGAAGGAGGCAAAGAGAAACCGTGCTATCATTCTTACGAGTACTGAGCTCTCCTTATACTCTGTTTATTGCTTCTGTAGACACAATAATGCCAACCGATGAAGTAATTTTTGACAGCGCACTCAATGGAGGAGGCAGAAGTACTATGTGATAGACTTGGCATTTTTGTCGATGGTGGATTCCAGTGCCTTGGTAACCCAAAAGAGGTAACTTACCTATTTATCACTATGTAGCAGACATGTACATTTTTGCATAGCTGTTTATTGAACACCTTGCAAATGTTTGCCATGAATTGTTTTGTAGCTGAAAGCTAGATATGGCGGCACCTATGTACTGACAATGACAACATCTTCGGAGAACGAGCAGGAGGTTGAACAGCTTGTTCACCGCTTATCACCAAATGCGAGCAGGATATACCATATTTCAGGAACCCAGAAATTTGAACTGCCAAAGCAGGACTTGAAGATTGCAGATGTATTCCATGCCGTCGAGAGTGCAAAACGCCGGTTCAGCATATATGCTTGGGGCCTGGTTGACACCACCTTGGAGGATGTCTTTATTAAGGTTGCCAAGGGAGCACAAGCATTCAGTGTTGTTGCGTAAGTAGTATAATGGATTTATAGATGTCACTCTCTTTTTTGTTGTGGAATATGTGGTGTTTATGCTTGTCTGAACTTTGGTTATAGTCTTCATAGGATTGAGGTTGTGGTGTATATTTTAGTATAGTTAAGTTGTATATATTCTGTAATTTGAATGTCATGTTGTCCCTTAACAAATATTGAAATACTTTTATCATAGTGTCAAATCTTTACAATGTTTGTAAGAGAAGTCTGGTCGAATAAAAAAGGATCCACGCCACCATCGCAGCGCTCATGCGGTATCTCCGATAGGAGAAAATTAAGGTCAGTAGAGAGTTTCGTGACATTTTTACCAAGACTGCCACGTCACATTTTGTGTTGGTAACTGTGACAACGGGTTTGATCCCGATAAAACTCTCTCTATCTCTCTCTTCATAATTAACGAACCAAGTCATCAAATCTAATGCTGATGTGTTAAAATATTAAATGCAAATGAAACTCAGATTAAATTTCCATTGAGACTAGCCTTGGCAAACAGCTAAGCTCCAGAAATTAAGGTGATCAATGTTTTATGGTTGTAAGTTGGTGGATGTTTGGGATTTTAAGGTTGCAGATGGTGAAGGGTCTGCAATTTTTGGTGGTCAAGACTCTACGCTTGTGTCCGCTTCTTTAAGTATTACAGGATTTTTACATTGTTGGTGTGAAACGGGCAGCGGTCATCCGGGTTGTTAAATGATACTTAACACCTTGGCTGTTTAATCTCGCACACCTCCATATTCCTAGTAACACAATAGCTCTTAAATTCAATGATTAAGTTCAAAACTTGTATACAAATAGTCCAAACACTATTCTATTTGTCTAGCCTACGTTTTCTAAAAGAAATGAAACTCTATATTGTACCATCTTTATCCACTTCGAAAAAGATGTCCCGCTCATTGAATTTGGCTCGTACACAATAGCTTAGTTTTCTTTTCTTTTGCGAAGGGAACTTAGTTTTGACTAAAGTCATCGCAAAAAAATGAACTTGTTGTCACTTTTGTTTGCATTGTTTACTTTAAAGAAATAAAAACATTCAATGAATGAAAGTCTTCACTTTTGTTTGCATTATTGCACATATGTACTTGATTACACATTTCTTTTTGCTAAAATGGGAAAAAGAAGTACGGGATGCTCAACCACCTAAAAATATAGAAAAATAAAAATTAAATCACAGCTTAGTAGAAATCAAACTAGTACCTTACTAACTACCAATCAAAGCACATGCAATTGGAATAACTCACTATTGAGCGCATTTGAAAATTATTTGGCTAAAATAAATAAGGGTCAAATGAGTGTCGTGGCTCACCCAGTATATCCCCTACTAGGTCCATCCTTGATCACAATAGCATATAAAAAAACCACGGAGACTTACCACTTATTGTGGGCGCATGTATGCTCAGTGGCGGATACACACCTAGGGTCACTAGGGCCCTAGCCCTAAACGTGGCCCAAAACCTCTCTTATAACCCCCTAACACCCCCACCACCAACCCCCCCAAATAATTCTTTCTATCCTAGTTAGATTTCATGTAATTTGATCTGAGGCATGGCTCAACATAGTAGTAGAAGTCCATCAGTTATAGGGCGAGTCACCAAGTTATAGGCTAATTCAAGCATATATGACGGCCTCGCATCCAAAAATCACCCGCTGGCCGCCACCCTCTAGCCTCTGTCCTCTTGCTCGGGTCCCGCGCTCCCTCCCTCGGTCACTCCCACTCACCAGGCGCTAGCCAACCCTAGGAGGGGTGTGGCAGCCCAACCTGGACACAATGCCCATAGGCTAGACATACATACCGGTTCCACTGATGCCGAGAGCGTTTGTCTTGTAGTGCTAGTCGCTCATCGGTCTGGCAATGCATGAGACGACAAGATGTGGTGTGCCAGTGCCAGACTACTGGTGCCATAGACGAGAGCCAAACAAGTAATGAAGCAGGTCAGTGTTCCATTCGTTATTTCTCCCGGTTTTCCCAATCAGGCAGTCCCTATGCCTTGATCCAATCCTCTCTGTTTAAAATTTTCAATTGAACAAATTAAGTTCATGGGTTATTGTTGACGTTGAAGATGACCCCAAGCCAACACACCAGCAGGGCCTTGGACGCCCAAAGAGGTTGTAGATCAACCTGCAATGCAGCAAGAACGCAGCGTAATCGACCAAACCAATCTAGAGACCGATAAGGCTGATGTAGAGCCCGTCCATGGCTGAAAAAGCTCCCGAATTTCTTCCGGGAAGATCCGTCGGGGAGGAGCACATGGAGGATCTCCTAGGACCAGCAAGGCCGCCTAGGATGCCGACAAATCTCGCCGGGAGACGTGTCAAACAGCAGGAGGGGTTGAGAGAGGGGTAAAGGGTTGATAGGAGTTGATAGGTTTGTGTTTTTGATGATTGGATAGATGGGAACTCAATCGGCCATATACCCCTTATTTTATAAGGGGTAGGGGTGGTCATATCCCATAGGAAAACCAATGTGGTACTATTATCATGTCGCTTTATGAAGTTTTTCTTAGATTGGGCCAAAACTGTTATGGGCCTATTTAAATTGGTTTGGACCTAATTTGAGTGTCAACATATGCCCCCTGTATTCAGGTGAATGATGCATGAACTGGAAAACACTTAATCAAACAAAATAAAACCAAACAGCGACGATACTCATCTCGTCGGCTGCTCAGTGACTAAGGCCGATGTATACATCGGCCATTTTTTTTTCTAAGGGCGATACATGTATCAGCCATTGTTTGGAGAGCACTTAGGCTTCTTGCCAAATACTTGGAAAGTACTTTTTAAATACCTCCCGTTGATTGCTCTCGTGAGACATTCACCTTGCAATGTCTCTAGCAGATAGGAATTTCCGAATATGACTCAATCACTCTGTGAAACCGTGCCATCATTCTTACAAGTACTGAACTCTCCTTATACTCTGTTGTTTCTTGCTTCTACAGACACAATAATAGCAACTGATGAAGTAATTTTTGACAGCACACTCAATGGAGGAGGCGGAAGTACTATGTGATGGACTTGTCATTTTTGTCGACGGTGGTTTCCAGTGCCTTGGTAACCCAAAAGAGGTAACTTACCTATTTACATGTATGGAGCAGACATGTACATTTTTGCGTAGCTGTTTATTAAACACTTTGCAAATGTTTGCCATGAATTGTTTTGTAGCTGAAAGCCAGATATGGCGGCACCTATGTACTGACAATGACAACGTCTTCGGAGAATGAGCAGGAGGTTGAACAGCTTGTTCAGCGCTTATCACCAAATGCAAGCAGGATATACCATATTTCAGGAACCCAGAAATTTGAGCTGCCAAAGCAGGAGTTGAAGATTGCAGATGTATTCCATGCCGTCGAGAGTGCAAAACGGCGGTTCAGCATATATGCTTGGGGCCTGGTTGACACCACCTTGGAGGATGTCTTTGTTAAGGTTGCCAAGGGAGCACAAGCATTCAGTGTTGTTCCATAAATAGCTGGCGTTTCAAACTGAGTTGCGTGTACTGGAGGAGTAGCGAACTTGAGTGCACCTTTGTTGGCAGTGCTTTGGTGGGAGTTTCTTGGGGTTGACCACAGCCAGGTGACTACTGAAAAATAATTTTCTAATTTTCCTATCAGTATTTCCTATTTTCCTGTCGGTTTTACCCTGACCGGACAATTCGCATCTCCAATAGTGACACCACCCACGAAGGCGCTTGAGAAATGAGAAATGTCAACTGCATCTCAGCACGGGGGACATCATCATCCCCACATGCGAACGCACGCTCTCTTTGAATAGAGATTGTTACTAGTGACTTGCTTTGTTCGTTAGAATAAATGACACTATACATATAAACAACAACAACGTACGTTATTGAAAGATCACCTATGTTAATCACATGCTACAGGGGTGGACGATTACACCCACCTTTATAAATCAGGGGGAAAATGACAATCGTTCCGAGCAAAACATTCAGATGTGGTTCGAAGATTTGAGCCAGCCGCCGGCCACCCTCCAGTGCCGGCGACCATCACCTCTACGCTAATAATGCCTGCTTCCACGAGCAGGCATGAGGACGTCGGCAGCCCTCTAGGCATCTTCGTCTAAATATCAATACTAAATAAGATGATAATTTAAATGTTAACCATGAATAGGGTAGTTAAGGCCCTGTTTGGATCTTATAATTGAAAGGTTTTTTTCTTGAACACGAAGAGGAGCTGCATATCATTATAATCTAAAGACCACTTTAGCTCTTGAGGCTCCATACACAAGGTGTTTAAACCATCTCACAAAACTTTAGACCATATAAGTGAGCTAAATTAGTTTAAAGTTTTAGTCCTCTCAACTTTAGTCAACTACTCGCTCCGTCCTTTTTTATCTATCGTTCTCACTTCTTCGGAAGTCAAAACGTACTCAACTTTAACCAAATATATATTTAAAAAAATATTAATATTCATAGTATATTAGATAGATCCTTGAATCTATTTCTATAATAAATTTATTTGAAAATACAAATATTGCTAATGTTTTTTATAAATCTTGTCAAAGCTAAAAAATTTGGCCGCACGTATCACGGCGACATTTAATAAGGGATATATGGAGTAAACTTTAGACACGAACATGCCCCGGTTAAGATAAGTTCTAACAAGTGTGAACTACTGCCCCAAGCTGAATCTGTACAGATACATTTGCATGTGGTGTGGGACGCAGTTTATTTTGCAGTCAACCATCAGGCTAATGTGTGGTATATATATAGTCCTGCAGTCAAGCTCTCAAGCAGCGTTGGCAGGAAACGGCAGAGGATACTTTCGATTAAAGCCCTCGGATGTTGAGGTATTCGCATAAATATACCATCAGCAAATATTGCACAATTTAATTTACCCCACAAAAAACATATTTTCCACAATTCATCAGCGCACAATATATAGATCTTACTGCATGCCGTAACGGGACCCGTTAGTCAACGCGCTCGTCTTTTCATCGGCGCGCGGCTGAGGAAGGACAAGTACAAAGCATACATATGCAGTTGTCCTGAGAAGGACACCTGCATTTACATTCAGATTCATGCATGATGGCTATTTTTACACATGTGCCTGAGATCAAACTGATGACGACGTGATTAACTAACTTGATGACCAATGTGCTTGTCACGATCGGATGTACGTAAACTGCTTGTCTTGTCGCACACTGGAGCTGCTACAAGTTGCACACACGTACGTAGTGTAGTTTGACCTAACGTTTTTTTATATATGCTGCCGCTTCTTCTTCCAAAAGGAAAATGGGCAGATTTGTTCAACTGTGTAGCCGTGTTAGAAAATTGGATGCTTGGAGATGAAGCTAGCTAGCTATAGCTCGGCGTGGTTAATAAATTAGATGAAAGTACGTCATGTTGTGCTCAAACAAAACACAGTGCTCGCTCGTTTCCAATAATAATATAACCCGTCTGCTGGTTGATGCAGGCATCGTTACTTCACCAATATATCACCAGTGCATGCATCGCTGTCAAACGTATGCCAATGCAATCTTTATTTTTTACCCAGCCACCACCAACTTGCTGTACGTGTCGAAGCATGCGAATTTGCATCACGCCACACTGCATGTACTAGTACGTACTAGCATATATGTCATGCTACTTGGAGTAGTAGTACATTATTAATCTTAAATACTGACAAAAATAATCAGACGCAAATGTACGTTGTAATCAATAACCAAATTAATTAATCTAGTTTATTTTTGGCCATTCTTCCAGTTCATGACCGACCGCCGCCCTACGGAAAAAATCAGAGTGTGTGTGCAAGCAGATGACGCGATACCACTGGCAGTTTCGGCACTGTACGTCGTAATGCTTAATTACTGGTAGCGCTGATGACATACTCCTATGTTCTATTGAATTATTGCTTATACAGAGTGAGCATATATATATATATATATCCGATCAAATCAACGGAACTTGCTCCGAAATTGACATTGTCTGATGATGTTTGGTTTCGTGGACTAAACTTTAGTCCTATAATATCGGATGTTTGACATTAATTTGGAGTATTAAATATAGACTAATTACAAAACTAATTGCACAGTTTGAGACTAATTTGTGAGACAAATCTATTAAGCCTAATTCATCCATGATTTGACAATGTGGTGCTATAGTAAACATATGCTAATGATGGATTAATTAGGCTTAATAGATTCGTCTCCCTAATTAGCCACGGCTTCTACAATTAGTTTTATAATTAACTCATATTTAGTCCTCCTAATTAGCATCCGAACATCTGATGTGACATGGGCTAAACTGTAGCCCCTAACACCCTAGCAGCAGCAGGTAGCCGGGCGGAGGCTTGCTAAATTTTACCGATGTTTAATTCCACGCATGAGCATGACATGGCATGCCGCGAATTGCATGCCATGGCTGCATCTCCGACCACCAAACATGTTAAGTATAATATAGTACCTACTAGGGTCTAGTAGTAGTAGTATATATTTGTGCAATTGCACTGCAAGGAGACATGAAATACTATATATAGCTTAGTGTCCAAGAAACGACGACGTCAAATTGACTATGTGTGGACTTTGGACAACGAATCAATTCAATCATCAATTAATATACTAATACGGAGTTAACTAAAATCAATTCCAAACTGCTGACGTGGATAACTTAACTCATCCACTCCGCATGAACACTGAAGCCTAGTAGTCGATGACGAGACAGTCGTCATGCCAGCTACTAGAGTACTAGTAGTACTAGCAGCAGCACTAATGCTGTCTCCAACAGGATACCTATTAGGAGATTCAAACCTAAAATAGGTCTTCAACGCAATACCTATAGCCTCCAGTAGAGTACATATATAGAAGACCCACTTTGAGTGTCAGGAGAGGTATAATCTAAATCTTAGTATCATCTTTCCTGGAAATCCATTTACAGAAAATGTTCTCTTTTGGGTCTTATTGTTGGAGAAGACAAAAAATAAATATTAAATTATTTGCTTGTAGCGCTTCCCAAACGTGAAATAGGCCTTGTACTTTGGGTAACGGTCGTCGGAGACAGCCTAATGCGAGGCGCGCACGAAGGAGACTTGTCTTAATTTGACGACTAATCGTTTTGATCGATCGAGGAACTTTAATTTGGCCTTGCATTGTTTGCCGTACAGAGATGTACCAAGGCCTGTATGTAGAAAGTGGTGAATTGAACGGCCGGGGACGCGGCTCCGATCCATCGAGCGGGGTTCTTCGAATTCGGAGTGAAGAGAATTCGACTGCGTGCGTTGTTTGTGGCCTGCTGTTTGACCAAAACCAAAGGGTCCACCATATATAACGCCAAACTCAGAAATGTCAGCTTGCACGCGCATGCACGCCCACATCAGACAAGATTTTTCTTTTTTGAGGGAACCACACATCAGACAAGATTTGTTCGCACATGCATGCCAACACACCACGGCTATATGTAAAGATTTCAACGGATTAATATTATTAGTCAACACTCAACAGGTCGTCGATGTACATCGGAACAGGATGATTTAATTTGGATACATGGATCGATAGATGGCGATGCATGGTACGTATGGATCGGAAGCCGAGTCTGCTGAGAATTTTCGCAACTAAACAGCTTCATTATCAGTCCGACTATTAACAAGTGTACATGTCATCACCGCCTGAGGATGATGGGAATAATTGAAAGCCTAGGAAATCTCCCCAACTTTCAACTGACGCAATCTACCTATCTTTTTCTTTTCTTTTTTACGACTGACGCAATCTAGCTATCTTGAGGTCGTTTAATTACGCTAGCTATAAGTGATTGCCATTGTCTGAAGAATATGTCGTCGGTTTTTTGTGACCAGCTACCATATGTGTGAGAGAGAGTGCTGCCAAGTGCCAACCCCAACTTTTGTAAGAGTCTCTAGAAATTTGGTTTATGTTGATTTGTTGTGAGAGAAAATATTGTTCGTTCGTACGGTTGAAGTTGTGCTGAAGAACCAGGCTTCTAGAGCCTCCTACAAAAGTTAGAAACATTTGGTCATCGATATGGTAGACTTAACTTTTAGCAATAGTCATATGTTCTAATTTGTTTTCTAAAACCTTTACACAACACTACTGTAGGAAAGCATTTTCAGAAACTGCCATTTTTCATTAACAAAGGCCGGCTGCCCGATTAACTGATCTATCTGTTAATCATTTCCATTAAACAAAAAATTAGATACATCTCAAAACTCAAACCAAAGACCTTTAGTTGACATAATAGCTCTCAATCGCCAACGGTTGCTAGACTGGCTGGTCAAGCACTCCGAGTGGCACTCTCGCGGCCTAGGTTCAGTCCCTCACAGGGAGCGAATCGCGGTGCCGGAGGTAAAAAACCCACTCGTCTACTCCGCGTTACCCAAAGCACAGGTTTAAAGGATCGGCCCAGCAACAGGATAACGGTCCCCTTTGAGTGGACGGAGTACGAGGTTCGAGAGTTTTCTCGGACTGGGTGAGGAGTCCACTACCTTAATGCGAATGCT